TGAGCTGATCATGGAGGTTAAACGCACTGGATTCGATTCTGGGATGGCAGGGTTATTAGTGCACACTGCTGAGGAGTCACACACTGAAATGAAACCTTAAAAATGACAGATATCTGCTATAAAGTCATCATCATCATCATGAGACTGAGGAATTGTATGCTAAGCGTGATACGTCATTACCTTCATTCAAACTATGATAGGGTAGAATAACGGTGTTATGTAACAAATAGTCTACTCAAAGAAAGATGGAATGCGCGTGTAGGTTTGTACTCAGAAGGATGAGAAAAGTGGGATTTGTGTATGCTCGTCACTTAACCATATTCGGAGAGATTCCCAACACTTATACTGACTACTTACTAACAACTACGATGCATATTCTACCTCAACTTCATCGACTTTGAAAAGGCTTTTAACAGCGTCTACCGACAAGTAATTTGGCAGTTGCTTCAACAATACGGAGCACCACAAACCTTTATCAATCTCATTCAACAACTATATGAAGACGCTGCATGCCGAGTAATTCACAGCAGAAAGCTCAGTGATGCCTTTGAAGTGAAGACAGGAGTAAGACAAGGCTGCCTACTATCACGCATGATATTCCTGATTGTGGTGGACTGGACCATGCAACAAACAGTGAGGAGTGAGAAGAGGGGCGTGCGCTGGACCGCGGAAATGATCCTAGAAGATTTGGATTTCGCTGATGACATGTATCTGACGTCGCACAAACTTGAAAATCTACAGGCGAAAACTAACAAGTTGACAGAGAAGGCGGGGCAGTGAAGACGGGACTTCAAGTGAACGTAGAGAAGACAGAGGTGATGAAGATATTCAACCAACAACAACAAACACTAATCACCATCAGTGGGAGAACTTAAAAGAAGTAACCTCTTTCACCTATCTAGGCAACACTGTCTCAACTGCAGGTGGCACAGACGAGGACGTCAAATCCAGACAGGATCGGAATGATAGCAGGACAGGTGTTCATTAACTTGAAACCAGTGTGGAGATCTGCAGTGCACTCAGCATGTGGAACAACATCCGGAGTTCCAACACCGACGTCAAGTGAGTGCTTCTGTGTGATGATTGAGAGACTTGGCGTGTTACGAAAGGCATTTCCAAGAAACTACAAACATTCATGAACAACTGCCTACACTGGCTCGTTACTGAATATCAGATGGCCAGAATAATAAGAATAAGCAACAAGGAACTCTGACTGGCTGGCTGGCTGGCTGGCTGGCAACGAAGCAAGAATCTATCACTGAACAAATATGCAGTGGAATAAAGTGGAGATGTATTGGATTGGGCATACACTGAGAATGCCGACTGAGGACATGACGCTCCAGGCGGGGCAGTGTAGTGGAACCGAGATGGGAAGCGGCGAGTTGGGTGTCCGAGGTGAGGGTGACATGTAGGAGATCGTGTGAGGAGGAAATGAGAGCTTTTGAGCTGTCGTGGAGCCAGGTTCAAAAGATTTCAGAGAACAGGGTGCACTAGAGACGTGCTACTGAGGCCCTGTGTTGCATTAGGAACCTAAGGGACAAATAATAATAATATACGTATGCATAATAACGATCAGGCATGATCCTCTTGGTGTTCACCTTGATTTTATCCCTATTTATGAGAATTATTCAAAGAATTAATATCCGTAAGGACTAGATCAGCGTTAATGATGGTTGTGTAAACATGAAGAAAAAGGATTTCACAACCAGAAAGCGATTCTGTGTTTGTTTTATTGAGTAAGAATTCAGTTAATGGTGAAATAAGCCTACTAGACTATTTCTAACGATTAGTCCCATTTAATGAAGTTAGATAGTGTATTTACAAGATGAAGTTTATCTGAACAATGTATGATGTATTCACAATACACTTTTCGAACCATTTAATCACACAGACATTTACCACTTGTCAAGTCAGTTTATATTCAACCGAACAGTGGGGAAACATACAACAATTAAGATAATAAGGGAGTTACATTGAAAGAAGTAAGAGTGACATAGTTGATCCAAATCCTGGTAAAAAACACAAAGTTTACCAAGGTAGGTGTAGCGTGTTTGAACTAATTGCTTTCGTACAAACAAATATGGTTTCAATTTGTATATGGCTAACGCTGCTGAGAATCCCAGTGAGTATCCATTAACTATTTCTATATAAATCTATGAAAGGTGATTGAATATCAAGTTTGTGAATCGCTTCAATAATATAGTTATAGGTGAAGAGGGTCGTCTTGAACCTGAGCTTATCAACTAGATGGCTCGATTACTCCTCCTTATCTATGTAACCTTGTAAACACAATGAGATGTGATGTCATCATTGATTCATTGTTTATCTTCATGATGAAGTGTGTGTTTCGTTTTTTCCACTGCGTATAATGTTTTCCTAATAGGTGATGTTAGCCTACGTGGCAAAGGTATGCTATTTTAACTCCCCACTATATGGTAGAGTAATGCAGACCGTCTTCTTAGCAACCGTGTATATAACTGGCTTCGGTGCCACTTGACCTCTACAACGGTTTATCAGCTTCATCGGATATATCCGTCTTCCATCAGTGTTTTAGGGTCAGTAATTTGATAGTGATAGGATAGATCCTATTAAACAGACATTTAACTAGACAGTGTCTGTGAAAATTAACCTATCAGCCTGTTCATGTAGGCTTACTATAAACTGATTGTCTTATTGAACCATCTTCTCGTCGACTTAGGAGTATGTCTAAGAATCGCAGATGATTATTATTCCCTAGCTCACAAGTCAGGTTGATGTGTATTTGTATGGCATATCTCTTGTATAGAGAAGCTGTAGCGATGAGATCATCAGTCAGATATTCTATGTATGATACATTAATGAATATTAGCTGGTAATGGTCCTACAGGACTACCCGTAGGTACACCGTCAATTTGTCAAAAGTGTTCACCTTCAAATATGAAATGAACTCTGCCGGTACATAGCAACAATAGCTCCCTTAGAAAAGTTGGAGTAATAGGAGATGAGAGGTTTTTAGAGGATATATACCCGCATAGAATGTCAATAGTTGTTGTGATGTCTCAGTTTTGTATAAAACATTGTTATTTGATCTGAACATTTTAACTTGTCATTCCCACATGGTTTTCTATCCCTATTGTAATGTAAATCTCTAATTGGTTAATCTTTACTCTTTTACTATACAAATGCCTCAAATCGAGGATAAGGTCATTTTTCGTGTGTATACTTATTCACGTGTTTTGGATTGATTATTATTATTATTATATTCTCGGAGTACTGCACTCTTCCATCTGCCAGCTTCGATCTTCTCTCTATTCGTCCCGGGGTTGCAGTCAGTGACTCTTGCGTACCAAGTTAACTGTCAGTTAAGCAAGTGTATTATATTCATTTCCGAAATACATATACCATTAGCGTTTCAAAATCATAACAATAGTCTTAGACAACAACACGTTAGTAAGAAAAGAATTTACATTACAAGAGTATACAGTCTTGGTTTTTGATAATCATGTTACTAAGGCAGTCAACGAATCGAAAAGTTTACATAGATAGGGAGGAGTAATCAAGCCATCCAGTTGATAAGCTCAGGTTCAAGATGATCCTTTTCACCTATAACAAACAAATATTTAAACACGCTTTATAGTTTTATATCGAAACAGTTAATGGATACGAACTGAAATTCTCAATGGTGTTGGCTATACACAAGTTGAAATCACCTTCATGTTTACAAAGACAATTCATTCTTATGCGCTACACCTCCCTGTTGATAAACTTCATTTTCTTCTCACTTCTTGTTAATTGTTGTATTTATCCATCCACTCTACGGTTGAATACGTAGTCACTTGACATGTTGCATTATCAGATTGTTCAAAATGTGTATTGTGTAATTACACCACACACACACACACGCACACAAATGGTTCAGATGAACCTCGTCTTCTAATTACACTAGTAGACTATTGTTTGAGATATGAATCAACCTTGCATACTCTTATTGTTCAAGATGACAAGAATACAGTTTAGTAATGCATATGAAATGTTTATCTTCTTACAAGGAAGATAGTTAAAAATGGACAAGATATATATGATGTCAAGTTATCTGGTTATATAACAAGAGTAAAAAGATAATGACAGAACAAAGAAAAATGCATCATAACAAATGGTTTCAATGTTCAACAACTCATTCAATATTCCCCCCCCCCTACAATATTTGAAAGAGATAAAATTTCAGGATAATAAGGTACCATTGAATCAATTCAATCGCTATGTCACATTACATCATATCTTAGTATGTTTCACTAATGTTTTCTAATGAAAGTGGAAATTTTTTATTAGCGTGAATGTAATAAAATTCATGATTTCATAATGATGATGATGATGATGATGATGATGATGATGATGATGGAATAGTTAGCAAAAAATAACAACAAAAAACAATCCAATTGGTAGACACGAAGTTGTATCATTGGTTGAGTTTAAGTAGACCGCCATTTAAAATTTACACCAAGACATATTTGTATGAGTGAATTTAAAACAAAAGTTGTAGCGGTAAATTCAAAAATTGTAGATACATAACATAATGTGAAAGTAGTTGCACAAATTGAAGAAAAAAAACGTATTCATATATACTCATATACATATTCGTATTGATGATAGGGAATGTTTACTGAAGTGTAAATCTTGGTTTTTTTTGGGAGGGGGGGGATATGGAGCAACTCATTATTGAGTGATAAAAGGAAAGGAAATGAAGTTATAATATGGAGGGGGAGGTTGGAAGGATTATACACGTTGATATCTTCAGCAAAAAAAGACTTCCTTTTACCTCTTTCAACATGGAGATATGATGGAAAGTAGTACAACAGGAATGAAAGTCAATTGAACACATATTCCTGTCAATAAATGATACCATGTAGATAGAATCTATCATGTAGAAGACAAGCAGAAGTTCATATTGAACTGAAAGATTTTCATACTTGACAAAACAGACAATCGGACAGAGAGGGAGGGAGAGAGAGAGAGAGAGAGAGTCAATGACCTGTACTACCAGATGTCAAAGACGTTGTCATATCACTATTATTACCACTTGAACGTTTATTGATACGATCTCTTTCCGCTGCTGGTAAATTAGGCTTATTATACTTTAACCATGGGAGGTGTTCATTAAATATCTATTAAAATAAAATGAAAAAAAGGAAAAACCAGATAAGAAATTGAATTTTGAGGGAGTTAATGAGGATTTGGAAATATTTCAAGTCGTCGTTCATCATAGACTGATATCAATTGGAGAGGAACAAAGGAAACCTGGGAGCACTGGACAGCCGTTCCGTTCCTCAGTAGTGCGTACCCACCACCCTACCCCCGGATCGAACCCGTGACCTTTAGGTTCCTTGGCCAGCACGTTACCATTGAGCCACTGGCTTGCCAAGGAACCTGAAGGTCGTGGTTGCGCACTGTTGAGGAGCTTCATACTAGTCTGACGAAACAGCTGTCCAGTGCTCCCAGGTTTCCTTTGTTCCTCCAACTGATGTCAGCCTACGATGAATAACAACTTCAAATAAGAAATATTGAATTCCTTTTTCGATAATTTAGAAATCACTTTAGTTGAATGCAAAAATTTGAAGAACGAGATATAAACTCCGAATTTTGTTGAATCATAGTAGCCGTAGCGAAATCCTTCAGGTCTGAATTGTTTGGCTATAAAGGTTATCCTATCCCTACTGTACATTTCTGGTTGTCACATTTTAAAGAACAACAACAACGCGTATTTGTTTGCATTCTTCAGTGATCTATGTTTCTCAGTTTCCTTTTCAATCATCACATAGTATCAAAAAACACTAGTCTTACACATCAGTACTCACAAGGGTGCAAAGTACGTCCAGTTGAAGAGTCCTAGCATAGACGAAACACGAGGTATGTATTCAGCCTACCTACCTAGCACCAGATGAATTATAACAATGAACACCATTCAGGTAATACTGAGGCATTCGCAAAGGATCCAACAGGGGTCAATCCATTCAACTCAGTTTAGCACAAGGAGTGATTCTCGTGCCTCAGTAACCCAATCAGTAGTACTTCAGCAGTTGAAGCGATGAATAGTAGGTTTGAGTTTCAATGGGTACACTACCGTCACTCATTGGCATACAGATTCACTCGGTTGATGAGTCCAAAGTGGACGAAACACGCATCATGGAATCATTTCACAGCTAACCACCATCAAGTTTATGACATAACAATCAAAATTCGATACATATGAATGGGAATGATGAAACACTTCAGCGGTTATAAATCCTTACAAACATCGCTTTCATAAGAAGTTGAACCATCAACTGTCATTCTTGAATGTTTTAGTCAGTAGAGCCAATGTTGAGAAAATTGAAGACTTAAGTGTACATGAGTTCAAAACACACTGATCAAATCCTCAACAACCCAGTAGTGCACAAAGAAGAACGTTTACCAACAAAACTTCATCAGAAGATGCCTATCCGCTTCATCATCAACTACAAAATCATTCAAAGAAATCCACAAACACATCATTCTACAGGATATGAAGAACATATCAGAGATCACGGCAAGACCACAGAGACCATTTAGAAATGGGGTGGCTTATAAAGCAAAAACTCCCTTACAAATGATATTAAACAGGCTAATGGATGTGACAGTCAAAGAAGACAAACCAAAATCAACTGTGACAACTGCTATCAGCATCCCATTGGACAAATTGGTCCTCTCTTCATCTTCGTTTACACGAGCATCAACTGACCGTTAAATGTCACGACATTTTATAGCTCATATCAATGCACATACACAAGAATGGACACGAATTCAACTTCGAAAATGCAGAGATCTTGGACACAGGAAACGGAAATAATTAATATCAGAGAATTCCCAGAAGCTTGGCATTCAGGTCAGTCAATAATCAATAAATGCCTAGACATAGACTCGATCTTTCAACCAATATGAATAAAGGTAAACATCTTCAAGGTTGAAGGTCAAGCAGAGAAACAGCCAATAGGATTATTGATACAGTTAATGGCAGAACGATGGTTAAGAAACAATCGATCACAGATTACTTTATCAGAGTATGCCAGTAAATCACTCACGAAGAAATTACAGCCGATGATTTCGTCTAGAAATACAATGAATGCTTCACGATTGAACCGACGAACCCAGAGAATGAAGCATACGTGCGCTGTTTCTCAGTCAGCGATTGAATGGATAAAGTAGACGACTCATCGAAACTGGACAGTTCAATTAGTAGAATATCATCTGGAAATTAAAATCGACACAACCAAGGCAACGAATGTAATGAACCATTGAATGAAGCTAACTTTGTACACGAATTGGTTACCGGGGCATAAGCCATATTTATGTACCTGACCTACATCCACAGATCAAGTTCTTCCCCTCTGTACCCCCTAGGTGAAGTAGTGTGACATTGCAGTGCGCTTCAATTTGATTTTAGATGGTAAAGTCAAACACAAAGACATTTTACTACACAAATGGACAGGTAAACACTACATATCAAGTTACATCTATTTTCCTCAGTTAACTGATTGTAATTATCTTATGCACGTAACTGTGCTGATTCAGGCTTTACGCTAATCTTGAATCTGATTGGTCGCTAATATACTTGCCCAGCTGGTTATGTATACTTGATCCACCCACGCACATGGTGAGTCGACTGCTTACGACAAACACAGAATCTGTTGGGATTATTATTATCCATCTATTTTAGGCCATCTGAATTTCCTGACCACGATACACCATAATGATTGATTTCACTCAAAATTCTGCAATTATTTTCAAACTATAGGTCATATGTAAATGGATGATTTTCTGTTACACAAAACAAAACAACGAGAGAATCAATTCATTAACAACAAAGTATGATATAATAGCTAAAACATAGATAAAGGGGACTCTTAGACACTCGAAATGCTATACGTTAATCTTAAGTCCTAGATCCCAGTGACATCTACTTCATAGACGAGTTAGGTGAATTATTGTTTCTGAACCAGGGATAGGCACAGAGAAAAAAAGACTAGTCTAGAAATGGACCAATCAAATTGCAGTTCATAGTAATCACATATATAGTTAGACTGACAGACGATCGATCAGCCAATCAGCATCATTAATTTAAATGTCCAACTATATATATATACTTAGATAAATTCGACCTACACCCCAAGTACACGTTTCCTAAACATTCATTGTATCTTCATTGAATAAGTCAGGTCGGAAATCAACCAGAAAGTTGCTGAACGTTGGTAGCTGACATTAGATATTTGTGCATCGATTGGAGCTAATGTTAGTGATTGGAAGAAGTCAATCACTTGATTAAAGCATGTTTATGAAGAGATCAAAATATGAAGAAATGTTCATCTTTCAACATCAGCAGATTGAAGGTCTTTTCTACAATGGCAGATAAACTTTTCCTTTAATTTGATCATATCATTCTACTTATAAGTAACACATTAGATATACCAAAACACAGTCTTCTTTCAATTGGTGACCAACCTTGATATCATCTGTCTAGATTGAGGAAGCAAGAAATTAACCAAGTACGAATATAAATTATTGAAACAATGATGTTCTCACAGTGAATTCCAGTGTTAAAGGAGTGATTCTGATTCTTAGAGAATAGTTCAAAGAGATTACTTCTTTTCGCATCAAATGGATGCCTTATTTCAATGCTTTTCAGTAATTAATCTATCAATTGTAAAGCAAAATAGGTTTTCGATGAGTTACCCTATCATCAGAGTTGTTGCATAAAGTATTATTTTAACGATTTTCATTAGACAGCTTTCCCAAATATTGTCTGCATTTAGATTTATCATCCAATGGTGAACACCTACTGGTAGTTCCCCTTGTGTATATATCATTTCACCTGCTTCTTAGGAATCAGGTGTAAACAAAGACCGATTATCCAACGTTGACTTGAACTCATTGTATGATATGGCTTAGTATAGGTGAATTTAATCGACACTGAATGCATACACTTTCTGAAGATTCATTCCATTGAAGGAGTTGATGGAGTTGAGAATACACCTTCAAAATATCTGAGTAAACGTCTTTTTTGCATTGATGAAGCTTAAACAATACGAAAGTGGAAAACAGAAGGGTCTATTCAGAAATATGACGAGAATAGCCAGACTATCTACTGATGATTACACTATCTGAGATAGACTAATCCGAATGCACAAAGATAGTGACCAATACTGACAGACAAGCTACCTCATGATGAATAGTTAACAGGAAGGTAGCTTTCTTTTCAACACCATTTACACTTAGATCAGTTCATCTACGAGGATGTGAAGCTTTCATTGTCATTCCAGACGACTTCATTATCATCAAAAACTTCAGAAAGAAGAAGTGAGCTTTAGAATTTTCTCCACACATGGTTTAGTCACGCCTCCTGATGACCTTGAGCGTGATTGATTGATTCTACTGAAATCTTGTCATTTTCTCCTTAAGCATTTCAGTTGATTGTCTCAACAAAGCGAAATTTGGTTAACAGATTAAGTCAGTGCCAACACATATTTTGGCCACTGAATACCTTGAATGCTTGTTCCAAAATTGTTGCAACGTCAGTACCTTTTGAAAAAAATAATTTTATTCACCAAATAAATATTTCTGAATGAAGGAAATGTAGTAAGCAACCTTGTGTACTTACATTCAGTAGGTAACAAGCCACGACTATTGCGTAATAGCTAATATGTTACCACCTGGCTACATAAACCTCAGTGGGTGAATCAGTGTATGAACATGTGATCATCTTTGTGGAAGCCAACTTCTCAGAGCAGAGGTTCACATCTCCACATTAACCTCGTTTAGGCAAGCAAGAAGAAACATAGATCAAAACAAGTAAATGTGACTGACTTCTTCTTGCTTTCCGTTATTGTTATTATTTGTACTTTGGGTTCCTAGTGAAACATACGGCTTCACTAGCACGTCGCCATTTCACTCTCTTCTCTGCAGTCTTTTGAACGTGAATCCACGACTCCCCATAAGCTTTCATTTCTTCCTCACACCATCTCCTTCATGTCACCCAGGGACGCCCAACTCGTCGCTTCCCATTTGCCTTCCAGCAGAGTGCCTGACCTAACGCATGATGTACCCATGCTATCCTCTAAGTGTATACCCAATCCATCTCCATTTTCTCCCACTG